CTCTTTCCAGAAGCTTAAATATTCCCAGAGAAATAAAAAGTACACAAAAGAATGAAGATGCTAGAAACCGTTATGGTCAGTTCAGAGTATGTCTATGATCTTACATATTTCAGATGATAAACCTTAGACCTTCTGTTAATTTACAGTTTTTTTCTGACAGGATGTTCCAAACTCTTCGATGCAGCTCTACGTTTTAAAGACTGTGAACAATGTTTTAATCTGATATACCTTTAACTATAGACAGGTGCTTCATATAGCCAGGTTTTCGTCCTGAGGTTTCCTTAGTTTTGATACTCACGTATTTTACCTGCTACTAAAATATCACTCTTATTAATAATATCTTTGGAGTTTTCCTGTTTAATTAGAGCTGAATTAACTTCTTTTTTGGTAACATTTCTCAATTAGTATGCTCAAAAATTTTCCTGCAGAGGACAGAGATGCAAAAGTGAGCATCATAAAATCAATGGAATTAAAAAGATTTCTTCCACTAAAGGCTAGAAAAACTGAAAATACAAATATATCTAAGATGACATAAGTATTTAATTTGCATTCAAAGCTGTAAAAATAACATTTTCTGACATATTTTGGAAGGAGGTATCACCTCTGTACTCTAAGGCTTATTATAATTAGTGCAATGGATACAGTAATTTTTGTGTGGTAACAAAACAGTATTCTTCCCAAATTGATTATAGGCATGCATTCCAAGCTACAAAATTGTAACTTATCCATCTTCCAAGTACTTGTGAGTCATCACTGACTTCTTACTCACATGTCCTCAAACACATTCTTTTAGATTATGTTGAAATTACAGGAAGAATGCAAGCTCTGCAAAAAGTTTCAAGGACTTTAAGAAGAAATGTTATTGTACAGTTATTATATAAAACAAAATACAGTATTTCTACTGCTTACAACAGAATTCTGGGTATCTTTTTCAGAATTCTGATCTATTACCAAAGTTTCATCATTTAGAAAGCAAGGAGGAATTGCTTATCTACATTATCCTCCAGGATTATTTCACTTATGTCACTATGATGTCTTTTAAAGCCGCCTTGAACATCACGGGCTAAATCAGCAGATATGACAGGAACTACAACAAAACTTGTGTCCTTCTAAAGCAGTTGGAAGCCCAGAAGTATATCCTAAAGCATCAAACATGGTACAATCAATATACTTACGTGGAGGTAACTGAATCCCACCATGACTTTTTGGTTAGCATTTTTTAAAGTAAAGCTATGTTATTTGGAAATAACGGACCTGGATTTCTCAACTGTATTGGAGAATGTTTTAAAAAACATTTTAAGCATGGGATTTCCCATCTTCTAGCAGAGGCCTCCCCCTCTACATCTGGTTTTCTTTGTTTATGTTTGGTTTGATATTTAGAAGGAAATGTTTTCATTAGTTAAAAGAAGATTGGTTTGTTTCCAAAAAAAAACAAAACACACAAACCACAAAACCATTGCAAAACTGGAAAACATTTTGGAAGAGATAAGCTGCTTCTTTTTTTCTGCAAATTCATTAATAAATTACTGGATTTCTGGATTTATTTAAAAAAAAAAAAAAATCACCCACTGCTTATGCCACAAAACCAACACCCTGACAACAGGTGTCTTACCTCTCTTTGAGTAACAGTTTCCATGATGGTCCCAAAAGCAGGAATTGTTGCAATCCTTACTGAGCTACAACAGAAAAAAAAGAGTCTTTAAAATATATTAAACATTAAGAATAAAATTAATTAAAAATAAAGCAAAACTAAAAAATTAGTACTTTAAGTTACATTAGTTTCTAGCAATAACAAAACAAAAAAAGCAGACCAGGAAAAAGACAGACAGGATTAACTCAAGGTCTCAGTCTGAAACTCACAATTCAGGATCACTGGACAAGGTAACAAGGGCCGGAGCAACCCGCTTGTCAACTAATGCTTCACTCATGCCTCGAAGAGTCAGCTGTAAACCAGTCAACATGCAATAAAAAACGGTTTGGTAAACTTCAAGAACTGGGTTAGCTGTGACTGAGGATGGGCAGGCAGACTCTTGGGGTTTTTCTTGTTTTAGTCACCCACACAAGACATTAAAACAATTAAGATTCTATTCATGCTGTAGCACTGATTAGTAACAACCAGTTAGTGAGATTAGCAAAGCATCCCTCCTCAGCTTGAAAGAAATATCACATCAGGACCTCCAGGAAATGAAGTACTACAGTTGTCTATCAGAAATTAGATACAGCCAATATTTTGCATTTCAGTAATGCAGATGATATTTAATTTTGCAGTAGTAAAGCTGATAGTATTACAGAACATATTAACATCCAACTTTCTGCTGGAAATGATATAAGCAAATTTCAAAACTGAGAGTACAATTAAATACAAAAAACCATAAAAATTAAATGACATTGACTTAAGTTTTCTATTTAAAGTTTATTCAGCAGTTTTATCCAGTTTAGTTCTAGGTGTTGCAGTAAACATTTTTTTTGACAAATAAGTGATTTAAAAGTTACATTTGTTTAGAAGTAATTCAATTTTTGTTTAGCTAGAATAAGAAACAGAACTGATGGTTATTTCTTCCCAAATATTAAGAGGGATGCTAGGTATATAAGACAGTCAGGAAACTTACATTTCAGGGTCACTGGAGAGAGTAATGAGAGCAGGAACAACTCTCTGAGCTACCAGAGTTTCATGTACCCCCTTCACCAACAGCTGAATGGTCGGAGCAGGGGGGTATCACAGGTGATGCACGGAAAGAGCGAGCACATTATCATGGGAAGAAGAACGGCACAACCAAGAGAGAGAAAGAAAAAAAAAAACACAAAAAGCAAACCAAAATTAGAAGCTAAGCAAATACTGCTACACCAGTGCTTCATATATGCAAAGGCATGAAGAAAGCTGAAGTGGTCTGGCAGTCAGCACAAACCTGACAAATTCAACAGTATCATGAAGTTTTCTCTATTTTCAGCTATTTTAAAACTTGAACTCTCAAAAGTTCAGCAAGTCATTATGTATTATAATTAAAAAATTAATATAATTATGTATTATAATTTTACAAATAATGATGTAAAATTAGATACTAAAGCTATGCCAATTGGAGTTTGTCAGTTTAATCTAAATGCCGTTCCTAACTCAATGGAAGGGTATTTATTATAGTAGGTGGCTGCCACATGCAAAATAGAAGTCTTTAGCTGGCCAAATGCGTGTAGTTTTCCTGCTCTGAGTGCTACCTTTCAGACCTTTTACAATGTGACAAACAGCACATTCCCAGATGCCACTAAGCTTTCCTCATTCAAGACTATTTCAGATTTAATGGCCATCCAAGCAGTATGAATGCAAAACTTCCCAAGTTTCCCTTGCTGGTCTACGCAAGTAGAAAATGGAGAATCCTTGGATTTTCCAGGAAATGTTATTTCACCAAGTCTTTTTGCAAACTAAGGAAGAGATGTATTTGTTACAATACGTCCCGAATGTTAAAACCTGAGATCAGTGAAATTTATGACCCATAAATATGTGGAAATTGTTTGAATTTAGATGTTCCCAGGTGATATATTTTTTTAAATTACTTATGTAGCTATACATAAGCATACATTTGCTGCTTATGTAGCAGACACCCTTTACATGTTTTCTACATACAAAAACCTACTAATTTTCAAAAATGACAAGTTCCAAACTTTCTCCATATTCAGCAAAACAGTTTTTTTCGTCTGCATCAATAAAAAAGGGAAAGCTTTTATATTTCCATTTTGTATCTCATATGTAAAGAAGTCTGCATATATTTACTGGTTTTAGGAGATAAACTTAAAAAGTTTATCAGTAGTTTCTGTGAGAAATCTGAAATGTCTTTTTAATATTTAGCTATATTCTAATTACTCAAATTACATCATGAACACAAATTAAATTCTATGCTTTTCCTCCCAGCAGTGTAACAAGAGAACACATAAGATCCATAGGGCATGGGGAAAGCAATAGCTGTCAGTGTATCATGCAGTACCAAAAGCAGGTAATGTTTACACCCTCTAACTAGTGAAAGTTTTACATTCTGCTATTTGTTTGAGCATTGCTGCTTTACCAACTCTGAACTTAAAACAAAGTAAATTGTGAAAGATTGGAAGGAACCTGACTTTCCAGAAGCCTTCAATACAAAGCAGTGATTTTTATTACGCAATATTTGTGTGTTCATGTATGTGCGTGCATGAACGGGTGCACACATGCACTGAACATATTCTGGCCTTACAGATAATACCTGGAGAAGGAAGAATGGGGAGAGAATTGTTAAGTTGTGTAAGAATATATGTATTATTGCTGCAAAGCACCTGGTAAGGAAAGCTGCAACTTCCTATACTTGTTACTCAGAAAGTATTAGGAGTGTCAGTTCAACTACTACATTTTAACATTAATACATTTCATGATTATTTACACTGGCAACAGCTTAAAGTGCTGATATGTTGAGCTTATGGGTTACTCTTCAAACAGCTTTTAAGGACACAGCTTGCTGTTTGACTATGATGATCTTACTCTCATGCAGATGTACCAGTTTTCCCATTAAAATAGAGAATGCTTACTATTTTCAATTTTGAACAAATAGGGACTTGAGCTTTCTTTACTGATCTTAATTTTAAGAAAAGCCTAGAGGTAATTTAGTGCTTTGAAAAAAAAATGCTTGGGATTTCTATAATTAGCAAACAATGTAGAATGATCTCAGCTTCATGGCTGTTTGGGTTGCCACACTTCTAATTATGGTAAAGCATGGTAAACAGTATTGTTCTGTCTTATAGAAAATAAAACATGCTTTATAATTCAAGCATCATTCTGAAGATAAGTGTTCCCAGCCTTGAACCTAAACAGATCAACAAAGCCTATAACTCAATTATGCGCTTCATGGTCAAACCAGCGGCAATCAAATCTGTTTGTATCAACATTCAAATGGAAAATTGCTGACTGAAAACGTCAATGCAGAAGGAACAGAAACAGCTGGATGGGCAAAGC